GGGGGGGTGTTTTGGGTTTGTTTGGGTTTTTTCAAGGACTGTTAGCAGTCTGACCTGAAATATACTCAGGAATTTGAATAAAGTGGTCTTGAAGAAGCTGGTTTTGGAGTCTGGAGGAGCTTGTCAAATCCATCTGCTCAGGGCAGGGCCTTGCTTATGCCGTGCTAGTGCTACCTTTACACTAGCATTCAAAGTTAACTCACTTTTTTTTTTTTTTTTAAAAGGGGGAGGGCTGGATGAAGCTGAAGAACAACAACTTCCATTTAGATACTTACCGTGGAGAAAAAGTGTCTTACTCGGATCAGGAGCATTAGAGAGTCACAGAGATCTGACCAGAAGCAATTGCTCAGTATGCAAGTTAGGGGAGGGTTTCACTTTTCCTTAGTTAACTTAAAGAGGGTCAAGAAAGAGATGGGATGAAGTTCTGCTTCTTGTCCTGTGTTTGCTGAGTCTGGGCCTACTCATTCGTATGATAAAATTATTGTCAAATTGAGGAAGAATGGCAAAATAAGCATTATGGTTCTAGTCTTTTTTTCTAGCCAGAAAGCACGACGAGGTGGTTCAAAGGAGGGCTGGAATAACCTTTGCAATCTGTGCCTTAGAGCTGCTTTGTATGGTGGCTGGAGAGTGGCCTAATTTGCTGTCTTGGAGAAGTCAGTTTTCGTGGATCCCTCTCTGAAGGCAGAGGAAGCATTTGCTGCTGAGATGTGGGAAACAGACCCTAATGCATTATCATGCTAAGGAAAGGAAGTTTGAGGTATGGCTCTGGGCTGTCAACAGCAGCACTTGAGGCCGAAGGATGCGCTCTCTTGTGCTGACTCTGCTCTTGAGATAAGTCTCTGGCAGAGGAACGGACATGATAACATATTAATACTGCAGAAGCTAGGCTTGTAGAAACTCATCTTCTATGGGTCTTACAGCAGCTCTTTTAAGTTGCTCCAGCTCATGTTTGCTCCAGCACCCTCCCAGGCAACTCTTCGTCTGCCTGAGATAGCTCAGCTCTGGTTGTGCAGCGCTCCTCTTTACATACAGGACGTTTATGTTTGATCTTTTCTTAGCACTTTTGTTATGTATAGCTACATATGAAGGCAATGAAAGTCTGGCATAGATAGTTACACCAATACAGGCTGGCCTTAGGTTAGTAGAGCTACAGCAGCTCCTTGAACCAGTATAATCTGTAGGAAAAGCTGTGGCAGCTGGGGTGTGCAGGGGCAGTGAGCTCTGACAAACACTGCCATGTCAGCAGAAGCCTGAGCATCAACATGATTTCTGTTGACAAAAACACACTTCCTTTACCAGTGTGACAGGATTCCTTCGGGGAGATTTCCCTCCGCTAGCATGGTTTCACAAGCATCCAGGGGTGCTTATTATCAGCAGCGTTTACCCTGTATGAATGCTGGCATGCTGTACATAAAGCTTGCTGTTGATCTAGGTCATGCTAGGACAGCTTGCTGGTGCTGGGTTGTTACAGCTGGTTCCTTCCATCTTTAAACCTTTGACTGCTCTGGGGTTTTTTGGATCTGAAGTGCACCTCCTTAAATAAGGAGTTTTGCCAATGACATCAGTAAGAATAGGCAAGAGAGGTATTAGTGTGCGCAAGATTTTTCAGGAAAGCCAAGGGCTGAAGGAAGAAGTGTATAAATCATACTCTGCTGGATTAGAAGTAAAACTTCCTTGATCCATGTCCCATTTTTGTAAGTACATTAGCATGCTGAGAAGCTCCAGAGCTTCCATGAACCAGAGTCTTTTCTCCCACTCTTGGTGTATGAATAATCTTCTGTGGAATTATGGCCCCAAAGAGTTCCTCATGCCTCTCATCAAAAAGGTGTTAACGCTTTATAACAATGGTAATAAAAAATCCTTTGCCTGAGGATGCAGTCTGTAAAGTTGATCAGCTTGCCACGTCTAATTCAACATTACTGCTTTCCCTTACCTATTTTCTGATTAAAAGGATCTATATTGGAAATGAATGCCTCTACCTGTATCTTAATTATAAAAGTGGATCTAAAGAGTTTACGCTTCCTTACCAGTATGTGTTTAATTAACTACTGCTACTGCTTGGTCAAGGAAAATCCATTATGTTAGCCATGAAAGTACTTGTTTCCTTTCTTGGGTAAACTCTACAAGGAGAAAAGAATTTGTTTGATTATTTTAATTGTCAACACTTGTAATAATTGGAGCAGTTTTTTAATAGATGCATCTTTCACGTCTTTTTTTACCAAGGTTGTACTTAATCCTTTAACATTTTGCATTCACTGGTGTTCCATGCCAATTCACTGTAAACAATGAACCATTGCTTTGGCAGAATACAGCTTGTGTTGCGGCATACATTGAGGGGGAATATTAAATGTGGCTCTTTGTGAAACATTGACATTCTGTTTGCAGTTTGTCGTGGTTTAACCCCAGCCAGCAACTAAGCACCACGCAGCTGCTCACTCACTCCCCCCCATCCAGTGGGATGGGGGAGAAAATCAGGAAAAGAAGTAAAACTCCTGGGTTGAGATAAGAACGGTTTAATAGAACAGAAAAGAAGAAACTAATAATGATAATGATAACACTAATAAAATGACAACAGTAGTAATAAAAGGATTGGAATGTACAAATGATGCGCAGGGCAATTGCTCACCACCC